GTCGTCGTAGTAGTGGTCGTAGTAGTAGCAGTCGTGGTAGAAATAATAGCAATAGTGCTAGTCGTAGTCGTAGTAGTAGTCGTCGGACAACTAACTGTACTAGCCGTAGTACTCATCAGAGCAATATGGGAATGCGAGTTGGCAGTTGTTGAGAATAACAATAAGTAATTGTTGTTTGAACTTGTAGTAGATCGTAGTCGAAGTGATCAAACGAATACAATCGTAGTAACCAGTACGATCAGTCAATGGCGATCTTGGTTCCCGGGTGCCGCTCGCAGCGGGAACCCGCCCTCCGCCGCGGCCCCAGCACGGAGATTGCGACCCTTGACTCCTGGGTGCCGCTCGCAACGTGGACCCACCCTCCCGCGTGGCCCCCGCACGGGGGAGGGCGACACGTGATTCCTCCTTGATGTCTAATTCCTGGGCGCCGCTCGCCACAAGGACCCACCTCCTTGAAATGCCCACGACAAGGCCAGCGATTCTTTATTGTTGGCCCGCTGGCAAAACACGCACAGGAGACACACACAGCACACACACAGCACACACACAAACCACACAACACCAAAAAAATACAGAAAACGCTTAGTGAGAACACGCGCGCGCACACACACGCACACACACACGCACACACACAAGCATCACACCCAACACACCCAACACAAGCAACACACATACACAACGCACACACAGCACACCTAACACACATAGCACGCATTACACATGACCTATATGAAATAAATCACACACATGACACATAACACATCGCACGCACACAACACACACCACACATATAACAAACCAAGCACACCACACACACAGACGAATCCTCCACCTGTACTTGTATGAGTCTGGGCACGCACGTGCCACTTGTACACGTTTCTTCTCTCCAGTCGTTATCCTTACTCCGTCTCGATCCCTCTGCGATCATGCTTCCCTCTCCCTCTTCTCATGGCTTATATAGATACATGCTATACATATATAGTATATATAATATCCCTCTCTTTCTCTCTCGCTCTCTTTCTATCTCCCACACGGCTCCTCCCTCACTGCAACTCTCTCTCTTTCCCTGTGTTCCTCTCACTTGCCCTCTGTCCTTCCCTCCTTCCCTCTCTCTCTCTCTCCTTCTCTGTCGCCCTCTTCTTCTCTGTCCTTTTTTTTCTTCCTCCCTTATCTTATACCAACCTCTGGTTTGGACCCTACCCCTCACAGAACATGTGTCCAGGGCCTCGGCTCGGCGCATTCATGTTTGCTTCCACGCTTGCCCTCCTGGCGTCTGTCTGTGCGTCCGTCCACCGGCCCGCCCGAATGACGTGGTGCCCGTCCGCCACTCCCCTCTCCTCGCCAAATAAAGGGATATCTATATCTATATCTATCTATATATATATATATACACACTAGAACCCTCGCGCGCGCTTAGGTTCTAGCTAGTCGAGTGCTGACCGCATCGAGACAACAAGGCGGTCATAAATCATGAGGTCAACATTCCATGTTTCCTCCTCCTCTTCCTCATTTCTCCTCCTCCGCCCTCGTCGGCCGGTCGACGGGTGATATGTCGCCAAGCTTCTTGTGGACCTCTTGACCCCTCCTGGGGTCTCCTGAGGCGAAGATCTCGGGTTCTCGCTTCACGCTCCCGATCGTGAACCTCCGACTTCCCGGGCTTCATGGGTGCTTCAGAGCCGTGAATGCAACTCCAGCTCCAAAGTTAATGAAAGCTACGAGTGGGCTGCGCCTCCGAGCCACATTCTGACAAGGACTCTGCCTCCTCCTCCTCCTCCTAAACCTCCGCCTCCTCGCCGTCCTCCTCCTCTTCCTCCTCCTCCTCCTCCGCCTCCTCGCCCTCCTCCTCCTCCTCCACATCCTCCTCCATTCCTTCTCCTTATAGATAACTCCTCCCTGTCGCACCCCGAGGCCAGATTTTAGTGCGGGCCGGGCGTTCCGCCTGAGACTTACTCGCCATGTAAGACTCTGAAGCTTAAACAGCGACAGCAATTTCACATATGGAGGGCGGGTCGTTTTCAAAATGTGGCTCTCGCCTTAGCGCCGCGCACATTAGCTTTAAACATTGCAAGGGTTTCGCGGATTGACGGCGGGTCGCTTTCAAAATGTGGCTCTCGCCTTAGCGCCGCGCACATTCGTTTTCAAAATTTGTCAGAGTTTCATTGGGGGCGGCTCCTTGTCAAAATGAGGCTCTCGCCTTAGCGCCGCGCACATTGGTGTTAACAATTTGCAAGGAGCTTCACGGACTGAGGGCGGGCCGTTTTCAAAATGTGGCTCTCGCCTTAGCGCCGCGCACAATCATGTTCTTTATGAAAAATGCCAGAGTTCCACTGATGGAGGGCGACTCCTTGTCAAAATGTGGCTCTCGCCTTAGCGCCGCGCACATTCGTTTTCAAATGTTGTAAGAACTTCACGGGTTGAGGGCGGTTCCTTTTCGAAATGTGACTGTCGCCTTAGCGCCGCGCGCATTCGTTTTCAACATCTGCAAGGGCTTCACGGATTCCCATGATCAACGTACCAGAAATTGTGCTTTGGAGAGATTCAGGATTACGCGGGTGCAGCCGTTATGTTGATTCGCGGAGCTGAAGTCCCAAAAATGGCGCTCTGGCACGATTATGGGTCGAGACGCAGCAGTCAGGTTGATACGTGGCGTTGGAATCCCGAGAACAATGCTTTGGCATGCGTCAGAATCTTCAACCGGGTGTCTTCCAACGACGCAGTTCCCTCAATGGAAATGAACCGTAGTGGGGGCCTATGGCGAGGGAACTTGGAGAGATGGTTAATTCCAACATCGTTGATGACTCTTGGTTTTACACTGGTCCTCCTCCTCCTTCTCCTCCTCTTCTTCCTCTTCGTCCTCCTCCTCCTCCTCCTCCTCCTCTTCTTCCTCCTCCTCCTCCTCACCTGCATCTCATCCTCCTCCTTCTCTTCCGCTTTCTCGCCCCCCAACTCCTCCTACTCCTCCTCATCATCCTCCTCTTCTTCCTCTTCGTCGTCCTCCTCCTCCTCCTCCCTCCCCTTCCTCCTCCTCCTCCTCCTCCTCCTCCTCCTCCTCCTCTCCTGCTCCTCCTCCTCCTCCTCCTCCTCATCCTCCTCCTCCTCCCCCTCCTCCTCCTCCTCCTGCTCCTCCTCCTCTTCCTCCTCGTTCTGAGTCTCCTCCTCCTCCTCCTCCTCCTCATCCTCCGCCTCGCCCCCCTCCTCCTCTTCTTCTTCCTCCTCCTCTATGTTCCGTGGGCATTGTCAAACCGTGGGCCCCTCGGCTTTGAAAGAGCTGATCCCCGTGACCTCCTTCCAGTGCCCCGTTTGCGAGTTCGACGGCTCGAGTCTCGACGATTTCTGTGAACATTTGTGCACACACCTTCCCTTTCGGCCGCTCCCATACGTTGCGGATGTCCGTGAACGTGCCGCCGTCGCTGCCCGTGGAGCCTCTCTCGTGGTCCAGTCCTTCGACGGCCCAGACAGCAGACGTGAAGCGTCCTGCCGAAGGAGCCGAGGGGAGCCTGCCGTCACGCAGGCGCGCCGAGAAAGGAGCAGGCGCTTCAAAGGCCAACGACAGGGTGATACTCTCCCTGGCCCGCGATGTCAAGAGCGCCCTGTACCCCAGGTACGACGTGTCGGCGGGCATGGCGGCAGCAGGCAAAGCGGCAGGGATGAAGTACGGCAGGTTCGTGTCGTGCCGACCCCGGCGTTGGTTCCTGACACCGCGCTGGATCGTTCAACCTTGAACGATCGGCCGCTGCCGCAACGTCCGATCGTTCAACATCGACCGACTCTGGGTCGCCGGCGGCGTTCAACCTTGAACGTCGGCGGCGGGGTCGCCGCCGGTCGACACGACGCAAACCTACCGTACAACGGCGCCGAGTGGATGAAGCTCGAGAAGGGAGGCCACCCCGTCGACCGCAGGCATCGCGGGCCCCTGCACGTGCACGGGCGCGGCAAGCAGTGTGCCGAGGGCGCTCCACCAGACCACGTTCAAGCTGCTGGGCGAGAGGGAGGAGCTCTTCGCCAAGGGCATCACGGCGCAGAAGCTGGGCAGAGAGATCCCGTATTTCAGGGCGAGGGTGCTCAAGGCGATGAAAGGGGAGAGTGCCAAGGCCATCATCTCATGCCACTTCCACCACGACCTCATCGGTCTCGTTCTCCCCCGCCTGCTCGAGGCGATGATGGAGTTCGAGGGAGGGGCCCACCCAGCAGGTGCGGCCCCACGCGGGCCCTTGGAGAAGAAGCTAGTGGAGGAGGTCGGGATGAGGGACAAGCTGTAGGTAGCTCCAGTAGATTCGACACATACATAGAATTGGAAATTGTGGATGAGCCTGGGGAGGAGGAAGGCCTTCAGGGGCCGCTTGCGATCCTTCCTCCCCCCACTGTGCCTCCTCAGGACGCAGCAAGCCAGCAGGCCCCGCTGGGGGCTTTACGTTCCTGTTTCGTTTCTTCTTCCAGGACCAGGGAGGCGTTTTCTGGGAGCGAACGGTTTCGTGAGCTCGTGGCCCGAGGCAGTGTGGAGCCAGCGGTACTTAATCGTCCCGCTCTGAGCACCTATGCCGCAGCGCCTCTCCCAGGTCCTCTTCCTATCACTCCGATAATATACGCCCCTAGAGCTAAGACTGGCTCCAAAGGCAAGGGGAGGGGTCGGAGGTCGGGGGGTGGGCTTGGGTGAGGGTCCCCGTGCCTTTGGAGCCTGCCTCCCTGGGGCTGCGTGCCCGTTTCGGGGAGTGCAGGACGGCCAGTGCCGCCTCGATGCGGAGTGCGCTGGCTGTACTGCGATGTCTGGGGGGTGCTGAAGCTACCCGACTCAGAGTCCTCTATCTCTGTACGTACGTCTGACGCAGCGTGCTGTAGCAGTATGACAGGGGTGACGGCAGGACTCCACGAGCTATTCATTCATTCATTATTCCTCCTCCTCCTTCTCCTCCTCCTTCTCCTCCTCCTCCTCCTCCTCCTCCTCCTCCTCCTCCTCCTCCTCCTCCTCCTCCTCCTCCTCCTCCTCCCCCCCCTGGCGGCACCGCCAGTGCGCGCTGCAGGCTGGCGGTGAAGCCCGGCTGGCGCCCGCGGAGGCCGGCGTCGGGGCGGACGAAGAACGTGATGTCGGCGGCGAGGGGGTGCAGGCGGTACCTCACCGCCCTCGCTCCCGTCCTCGTCGTCCCCGTCCTCCCCCTCTCCCTCCTCCTCGTCCTCCTCCTCGTCTCTCGTCCTCGTCTTCGTCTTCGTCGTCGTCCTCCTCCTCCTCAGGCACCTCCTCTTCCCCCTCCTCCTCTCTCTCCTCGCCCTCCTCCTTCTCGCCCTCCTCTTCCTCCTCCTCCGCCTCCTGCTCCTCCTCCTCCTCCTCCTCTTCCTCGTCCTTTTGTTGGGCGGATTCCACGTTGCTTCTCCTCCTCCTCCTCCTCCCTCTTCTCCCTCTCCTCCCTCTCATCTCTCCTCCCTCTCCTCCCTCTCCGACTCTCTGCTCCTCCTTCCTCCGTCCTCTTTCTTCTTCTCCCCCTCCTCCTCCTGCCTCCTCCTCCTCCTCCTCCGCCTCCTCGCCCTCCTCCTCCTCCTCCTCCTCCTCCTCCACCTTTTCCACACACTTTGTTTGGCCTGCGGTCGGGCTAGCGGCAGGACGCATCCGTCGCTAACTACACGGCGAAAACAAAGAAGGGGCAATAAACCTTCTGTACGCACGCACACACGCACACACACACACACACTCACACGCAAACACCCATAAACACACAAACAAAAACAAACACAAGCGCAATAAGCACAAGCACAAGCACAAGCACAAGCACAAGCACAAGCACAAGCACACACACATACACACATACACACACCACACACACACGCGCGCACACACGCAACCCCCCCCACACCCACACCCCTAACACGCACGCACACACAGACCCCATCGGCGCAGGCGGTGCCTCCCCGTCCGAACCCCCCTCGTGGCGTCATGACAAAAACCACGACGGACGGTCTTTCTGGGGGGCCCTCGCCTGGCCTCGGAGCCGTCAACCAAACATCTCGGCGTCGGGACTTCCGGGGGGGGGGCGTATTGAACAACACATGGCATCGGGTGTTTGGGAACCCGCCCTCGCTTCCCCATCCTCGTCGCCCCCCCCCCCTCCTCCTCCTCCTCCTCCTCCTCCTCCTCCTCCTCTTCCTCCTCCTCCTCCTCTCCTCTCCTTCTGCTCCAACTCGTCCTCCTCCTCCTCCTCCTTCTCCTCCCTTCTCTCCTCCTCCGACTCCTCCTCATCCCTCCTCTCATCTCCTCTCTTCTCCTCTCCTCTCCCTCCTCTCCTCTCCTCCCTCCCCTCCCCTTCCCTCCCATCCCCTCCCCTCCCCTCCCCTCTCCCTCCTCTTCCTCCTCCGCCTCCTCGTACTCATCCTCTTCCTCCACCTCCTCCTCCTCCTCCTCCTCCTCCTCCTCCTCCTCCTCCTCCACTCCTCCTCCTCCTCCTCCTCCTCCTCCTCCTCCTCCTCCTCCTCCTCCTCCTGCCAGTCTGCTCGGTCTGAACGTCGATGAGGTCCTGCAGCTGGGCAAGACGCTCCGAGTGCGTGCCCCCGCGTGCCCCGAAGAGGACGAGGAGCTCTTCGCGTCAGGGGGCCCTGTCGCCGGCCGGCGGGGAGGCCGGTCCCCGCCTCCCCGCAGTGACCGACAGGTCCAGTCCAACAGGCAATCCTGGATGCTTGTTGCTCCCTCCCTCTCTCTCTCTCTCTCAATTTTTCTCTCCCTCTCTCCCTCTCTCTCCATTTCTCTCTCCCGCTCTCCCTCTCTCTTTTCTTTCCCCCCGTCGTGGCGAACGGTCCTCCTGGTCGACCGTGGCCTAGACCCTTCACGCGGTGCCTCCCAACGTCTTGGACAACTCGGGGCGGAGGTTTGTCGTGACGTCTCTGGCCGCTGTTGGGGGGCCCTCTACCGGGCCCTCCGGGGGACCCTTTCGCGTCATCTGCGCGACGACGAAAAGTAACGGGCCTTACGCGAGATGGCATGGCGACCTTACGCGGCGGCTTGCGCGGGCCGCTGGCAAGGCACGCTACATTGGAGACGAGGGCGCTTACGCGCGACCTTACGCGGGCAGCTTACGCGCGGTCGTCGGTGCAGACGACCCCGCTCTCTTTTTGTCATTCTTCTGGTATTTACGTTGCCTTCTCCTTCCCCCGACAAGCCTCCCAACGTCTGCTCGATGGCTTCACAACTCACCACCAAAAACGCATGAGGCGCAGCCGTACCGACCCCTCGCAGACCATCCTCTTCCGTGACGTCCTCCTCGCCTTTCAAGCTTCCCTCCGGCCACATACCTACGTCTTGGGGCGAGGCGAGGAGGACGCCACGGAAGGGGATGGTTGTCTGGGGCTCGGTGAGGCCGCCCCTGAAACGCAGGGCGGCGGTATCTGCTCCATCAGGGGCGCTCCGATGGCAGGCTGGGATCACTAGAGGAATTGGTGAGCTCAGAGGATGTATCGGGAGCCGCTGCCGTTCGGGGAGGCCCGGGGGGCGCTCCGAGGCGTGATCCAGGACGCTCCCGAACGAGTTGTTGCATCGCAGTGCTGCGTGATCCCTCGTCGTCGTCATCCCCATCATCATCGTTTGGCGGCGCGCAAGGGAGGGAGGCTGCTTTTTGGAAGGCGTCAGTCCTGCATATACAGACAACAAGGCCCACGCCTTCGGAGAAGCAGGGGACTTCTAAGAAGCCTTCCCCCCTCCCCCTAACCCCCCTCTGCGCGTGGCCAGATCGTCCCTCATCTTCCTCGCGCCGTCCTTCACCCTTCTGAGAGGGACCCATGAACACACAAACAAGTGGCACGCATGCCCTGGTTCTGGCGCACAATCAGGTGTCGAAGGACGGAGGGAGGCCGGGGGGAGCACGAACGACGAACGAAGGACGAACGAAGGACGAAGGATGCGGATGAGGAGCACAAGGACGAGGAAGTCTGGGTATTGGGGAAAGGGGCTCGTCCTGCCATTTTTTTAAAAATAAAAAAAACTGAGATCCCGTCACATTTAAGAAAGTTGTTGAAACGCGACCCGGTCTGTCTGGACAGATTGGGAGCTTCCTCTCTGAGGCAAAGGGGGATGGTGAAGAACAGAAGGGAGGGAAGACAGGAGGGGGGAGCTAAAAACGAGCCGGGGGAGGAGGATGAGGTGCAGGAGGAGGAATGGGGCCTCGGCTCGTTGCGCCGGGGCGGCGGCGCCTCCGGGGCCAGGAGGGCTGCGGCTCCGGGGTCAGGAAGGCTGGGGTTTCGATCCATGGCTCGAGCCACGGGGAGGGGGCGATGGGTTTGGGGCTTCGGCTGAGGGCCAGAGGGGGGGGGCTGGGGCGGGGGCCAGGGACGACCCACAAGTCACGAAACACGGCGAACATCTGCCAGGGGGCTGGGGCTCCAGGGCCAAGGAGGGGGTGAAGCCTCGACCCAGGGCCAGAGGGGGTGCGGGGTTAGTGTGGGGGCCAGGGCCAGGGACGAACCACGGACCATGACAAAAATGATGGGCTGCGGGTTCTTGGGGGCTGGTGCTCTGGAGCCAGGGGGGCTGGGGCCTCGACCTAGGGCTCGAGCCAGAGGGGGAGGGAGGCGAGGTGGCTGGGGCGCCGACCCAGGGCCAGAGGGGGGGCTGGGGCGGGGGCACCAAGAACCACGAACCCCAGAGTGGCTCGCCCCAGGGCTCGAGCCAGGGGGGGCTGGGGGCCAGGGCCAGGGACGAACCACCACGAACGAACGAACCACGACGAAAATAAAGAACTCCGGGGCGAAGGGGGCTGGTGCTCTGGGGGGCGGATGCTCCGGGGCCAGGGGGGCTGGGGCCTCGACCCAGGGCTCGAGCCAGGGGGGGGGGCGGGGGCCAGGGCCAGGGACGAACCACCACGAACGAACGAACGAACCACGACGAAAACAAGTGGCACGCGTGCCCTGGCTCTTGCACAAAGGAGGGACGAACCACCATAAACTACCGCCAAAGTAAAGGGTTCCGCGGCCCAGGGGGGCTGCCCTGGGAAGCCTGGACGTACGGGGGGTCCCAAGGGGGGGTGGCCCAGGGGAGCTGGGGCTCAGGCTCAGGGGGGGGTCGAGGGGGACGAACCAGCACGAACCACGACAAAAATAAAGGGTTCCGCGGCCCAGGGGGGCTGCCCTGGGAAGCCTGGACGGAGGAAGGCTCCCAAGAGTGTGTGGCTCAGGGGAGCTGGGGCTCAGGCTCATGAGGGGGGCCGAGGGGGACGAACCACCACGAGCCACGACGAAAATAAAGAGTTCCGCGGCCCAGGGGGGCTGCCCTGGGAAGCCTGGACGGAGGGGGGTCCCAAGGGGGGGGTGGCCCAGGGGAGTTGGGGCGCAGGCTCAGGGGAGGGGCCGAGGGGGACGAACCACGACGAACCACGAACCACGACGAAAATAAGGATGTCCGCGGCCCAGGGGGGGCCCAGAGGGACGAACCACCAGAAACCACTGCCAAAATAAAAGATTCCGCGGCCCAAGGGGGCTGCCCTGGGAAGCCAGGACGGAGGAAGGCTCCCAAGGGGGGGTGGCCCAGGGGAGCTGGGGCTCAGGCTCAGGGGCGGGTCGCGGGGGACGAACCACCACGAACCACGACAAAAAAATGGTTCCGCGGCCCAGGGGGGCTGTCCTGGGAAGCCTGGACGGAGGAAGGCTCCAAGGGTGGGTGGCTCAGGGGAGCTGGGGCTCAGGCTAAGGGGGCCGAGGGGGACGAACCACCACGAGCCACGACGAAAATAAAGGGTTCCGCGGCCCAGGGGGGCTGCCCTGGGAAGCCTGGACGGAGGAAGGCTCCCAAGGGTGGGTGGCTCAGGGGAGCTGGGGCTCAGGCTCAGGGGAGGGGCCGAGGGGGACGAACCACAAACCACGACGAAAATAAGGATGTCCGCGGCCCAGGGGGGCTGCCCTGGGAAGCCTGGACGGAGCAAGCATCGGAAGGGTGGGTGGCCCAGGGGAGCTGGGGCTCAGGCTCAGGGGAGGGGCCAAGGGGGACGAACGACCACGAACCACGACGAAAATAAAGATGTCCGAGCTCTAGAGCACAGCTGTGCAAGAGAATCATGAGCTCCGAGCTCTAAAATTCAGCTGTGCAAGAGAAGAATAGACACAAATCCTGGGCGTCCCTCAGATTGTTCCATCTTTTCTGAGACTCCGTCTTCTCCCCACCCGCTTCCCAGAATTTGTATCATCTCCCCGGGGGATCGGCGATGAACTGTGTCTTCTGTGTCTTTTCCCTCCTCATCTTAAACCCCTCGCGTGCAGCCGAGGTCGCCGTGGAGAGATAGCGACAGCCTGCCTTCAGCCCTCAATCCGGGCCCGGGATCCTCGCGGGTCAATCCTGTTCGGGCATGGTCGGGATCTCCGCCGCGCTGTCTTTGCGTCGCGTGCGCGCTACGGAGTCCCCCCTCCCAAGCGCGCAGGGCCAACCCAGGGGGAACGTTTCAGTTTACACCGTGATCTGTCTTCTCCTCGAGGCTCCTCCTCTTTCTCGGCGGCGAGCACGGGGGGGAAGGGAGAGGGAGAAAATCTTATCAGACGGCTCGGAAGTCCCCCAGCCTTCCGAGAAGTTTTCGAGGCCTTCCCTGGAGATACAAGAAACTTTGCCGAAGGCGCGAGAGCTTCGGAGAGGTCCCGCCGCCGTCTCGGAAGGCCTTCTCCTTCTCACTTCCCCCCTCGCGCGCCGCCGAATTTGGTTTTTTGGCTCATAACTCGGGTCTCCGGCGGCCGTTCGGGACGATCCGGGCACCCCTGGAACGCCCTCGGCGAGGCGCAGCTGCTGGCAAGCATCCTGAGGCTGGAAAACTGCTGAGAACCAACGAAAGCGCCCGAACACCTCGAAGCTCGAAGCTCGAAAGGCCTTCTCCTTCTCACTTCCCCCCGCTCGCTCACCGCCGACTTTCCCTCCTCTCCTGCTTCTGACCCCCGGGTCCCCGCCAGCGCCGCTGCACAGGCCGCACCAGGGGGTCGGCCGCCGCGGGGCCCTGGGCGGAGCGCGGCCGGTGCGGCAGGAGGGCAAGGGGCGGAGGCAGAGCTCGGCTTAGGTTGGGCGCGTCCCCCTACAGGCGGAGTTTGGACGAAAAATGAAACATACCCCCAAAAAGTACTCCGGAATACTCACAAATAGTCATAACATCGTCCCCGGGCTAATTTTTTGACCACTCTTGGGCGTTCCTCTTGTAGAGGGACAGGCCCGACTGAAAGCTCGGCGAGGGGAAGGGGGGGGGGTGAGCGTCGGGGGCGTCCAAGAGAGGGGGGGCGTTTCAGAGGGGGGGTCGTAGATCATTCCGGAGGCAACTCCTGGGAATTCTTCGTCGGAGTGAGTGTGGGCTACTGATGCCGATTCGGGTAAAGTCGGGCCTGTCCCCCTACAGGCCGATTGTAAACGAGAGATTTAACATAGTCCAGAGATGCCCTGACGATGTATTCCTCCTGTAGAAGGGCAGGCCCGACTTAAGATTAGGGGGAACCTCACCAAATCAGGCCAAAGCAAACCGGACTTCAGCCGGAATAAACTAGATGAAGCCAGACGAAGCGAGATCCAGCCGGATTAAGCCGGTTACCGACCGCGACAATGCCAGCGATGATGCAGAATCTAACCTCCCAGGAGTTGCATGCCAGGATCATATGAAAGGGGTCCTGGGACACACAAATAAATACACACAAATAAATATATTCCCCATATTTTCCCATATTTTCTGGGTTTCTGTCTTCCCCCCCACTTCCCATATTTTCCCATATTTTCTGGGAGTGGACGATTAATTGTGTCTGTGTGTTTTTTTCCCCTCCTGAGGCACGTGCGCGGCCCAGGGGGGGGCCCAGGGAACGTATGAGAATCCGCGGGCCCCCTCGTGGGGCCGTCAGGCTGCCCGGCTTCGGCGGCTTGCTGCTCCTCCTCCTCCTCCTCCTCCTCCTCCTCCTCCTCCTCCTCCTCCTCCTCCTCCTCCTCCTCCCTCTCCCTGCCCCAATTCCGCGTCTTAGTCTTACCCTCTACTTCCGAACGTAAGCTGCTGGAGTCCGCGCGAGGGGGGGGGGGGGAGGCCCAAAACCGTTCAATTTTAAAGCGCCCGAAGCGAGGTTGTCTGACTTCCTGCGGGGCCGTGGGACACGTAGGAGTACATGGTGTCCGCGCAGCCCCGATCCCCCCAACATTGGGCAAGATTCGCGCACCCGAGGAAGCGATCCCTTTATACAGTATTACAAATCTAAATCTGCGCCGTCGAAGCCATACTCCGTTAGATATTACAGTGTTCGCGACCTCGAGACCGTAAGCCGTTGCACATTATCGGAGGTTGGGGGGGAGATCGCAGTGTAACGGAGTCCCCTCACTGGGAAATCGAGTTTCGAGTTCGTGCTCGTGCCGTGCGTGCGGGTGAGGCGAAGCTGCGTGGGCCAGCGAGAGGAACACTCTGCTGTCGCTAGGGGTCCGCCAACACAAATGTTTCCCCCCCGGCCTTGTCAAGCGGTAGCCCACGTTGTCCCGTCGGTTGCCCGCCGGTTGCTCATCATGGTTGCTCATCATGTTTGCGCATCATCGGACGCACGCACCAGGCACTGCCAGTGCACCCATCGTCGACTGGAACGTCGTGGGCTGAGCGCCGCGTCGCGCAACGGCAAACCGAACGACACAAGTCGCCCAAGCGAAGGAACAACAAACAAAAAAACGCCACGTCATCCACACCATCATCGCCCATCAACACCACGTTCATCACAGTTGTCGTCATGAGCCACCCCCCTCCCCCCACCCCCCTACAACCTCCTTATCACCCGCAGGGTGGTCGTATAGGTACAATACTTGCGCCACGAGGCCACGGTCCCCCGTAAATTGCACAACGCTCACACCCCCCAGGCCACGAACAGTACTAAATGATGCTATATTCGTGCCCCCGAGGCCACGATCATCGTGCATGACGCAATATTCGCGCCCAAGACCCTTTGGTAGACGAACGCAGTACAATTGATGCAATACTGTCGTCACCGAGGCAAGGGTCCCTCATAAGTTCTACACTCGTTGCGTCCTCGCGTCAGGAGGAACAACGTCAGGAAGAGGAGGAGGAGGAGGAGAAGGAGGAGGAGGAGGGAGGATGAGAAGGAGGAGGAGGAGGGAGGAGGAGGACGGGGAGGAGAGCGCAGCGCCGCCGCCCCGTCCTCAATCTGACGTCGCCCGACATACGTGCGTTTTTCAGCCCACGGCACCAGGAAGTCCCGACCCCGCTTTCATTCAGAGTCGTTTTTGGACGGCCGCCTGGGTGCCGAAAGCAACGACTGCTCGTCCGTCTGATCTCTTCACGACCTCAATTGCCCCGGTGCGCAGCGTCAACGTCCCGATCTTTGCCCAGCCTCCCGTCCCGCGGAGAGGAGCGGCACGCCATCCGCTTGCAAGGCACAGGGTGTCGCCTGGGCCGCTGCGGCGACACGCTAAGCAGGGAGCTTGTCCATCAGCCGTGCACCCCGGGCAGGAAGTGCCTCGGCAGCGCCTTCGGCCACCCGCGACCCGTAGCATGTGGACACGGACTGCGTAGACTGAACACGTAGGTCTGGCGCGATGCGTTCGCCGCGACTTGTCTCAAGTCTGGCCCGTCCCCCTACAGGCCGATTTCAAACGGAAAACTCAACATAGCCAACAAATGCACTAAACTACTCAAAAATGATTTTTAAAAATCGTCCCCAGACTATTTCTGGGACTATCTTTGAATCTCCCCCCTGCAGAGGGACAGGCCCGACTTAAGACTTGTCCCAGCACGTGCCGAGACCACTTTTCCGTCGCAGCACGGCACAGGCCATCCGCACGGGCGCTCGCAGCACTCGGGGGGCCCTCGACACACGAGTTGTCCGGATGCGATACATAGGGCGACGAGATCTATACATATCCACTGCTCCTGGCCAGGCCCATCCTGGGCCCAGGAGCTGTGTATATGCCTCCCTGGCCAGGCCAGGAGGGCGTATACACAGCTCCTGGGCCCAGGATTGGCCTGGCCAGGAGCAGTGGATATGCATAGATCTCGTCGCCCTAATACACGGGGCCGCGCGGGACAGCAGGGCGGCCGCGGAGGGCGCAGAGGGAGGGGGGGCGGGGGGATTTCACGGCGAGCGCGCCGGCGCGGCCAGCCGAGGCTGCGGCACCAGGGCCATGGACGCGGGACGGCCGCACGGCCACATCCGAGGACACGCGCCAGGGCTGCAGGCGCGTGCCGAGCCCACAAGCAGCGTGTCAACACTGACGTTCTGAGCTCGGTACGTGTTGCGTTTTCCACACGGGCGCATCCGGGCAGCCAGGACGCAAGGGGGCCTGGGACCCCTCCGCCTCCCCATCGGCAGCGCAGAGCGCCCCCCCTTCGTGTCCGTTCCCGGGGACCCCCCGCGTGGCCCCCAAGGCTGTCCGATTTGGACTTGATTTGGATGCGAGTTGGAAAGGTTTGGGACCGGATGTGGGCCGGATTCGGACCAGACTCGCCCCTTCCATAAGAGAGGCCAGAAGAACGAGGAGGGGGTAGGGGGATAACCTGAAGAGCGGAAAGGAGGAGGAATGGCCAAATGCGGTCCACATACAGGGAAAGCTGAGTCCGATGCCGCTGTCTCAGGCTCCCACGAACAGGCATCCAACCCCACTCTCGGGAGTCTGGGCCCCCCCTCTCGGGCGCACGCTCGCAAGGACTGGGGGCACATGGATCTGGTGCGCGGTCGCCAGGTCCAGGGATCGGGGAAGGCCCCCCCCCCCCCCCCGGGAAGCGACGCCGGTGCCGCCCGCTTTGGTGGCGGGGCGCGCCGACTCTGCATGGAACAGGGGCCCCTCGCCAACCCGCTCGCCTTAGGAATCCACTCGGCTACACGCAAGAGTCACTCCAGGCAAGTGTGATATGTGGTGCGCGGCTGAACATAGGGACGCGTTGGGGCCAAACCCAAGCGCGCAAGCCGCTGCTACCGCTTCGCGTGCAGCGATCGGGGAACCCAATGAGCCCGCACCGAAGGTCACTCCGGCGCAGGATCACTCTTTCGGGTAATCGAAACAGAGGAGGACGAGAAGGGCCAATACTTCAAGCATCACCTGTCCACTCTAAGCACATGCCGCTCCGCGCCCCGCCTCCGTCTTCTCTACCTGACGCTCCTCCATCTTGTCCCGGTCCTGATGCTCCTCCTCTCCTCCTCCTCCTCCTCCTCCTCCTCCTCCTCCTCCCCTGCTCCCCCCTGCTCCTCCTCCTCCTCCTCCTCCTCCTCCTCCTCCTCCTCCTCCTCCTCCTCCTCCTCCTCCCCCTCCTCCTCAATCTTACGTCTCGCCGATGCATGATTGTGCTTCCTCCACCTGCTGGACGCACCGGCGCGCTCATCCCGACATGCCTTCGGCCGTGCGTGCCCCCCACCTCCCCCCCCAAGGCCTCCGCCGCCGCTCCCTCTGCTTGCGCGCCCCCCCCTCGCACCCGGGCGCTTCGCCTGCCGAGCGCCCCCCCGCAACTCGAGCGCCCGAGCCGATCGCCTCTGCCGTGCCGCAGCAGAAAAAAGACGTTCCCTCGGCCCCGCCCCCGGAGGGGGAGGGGGAGGAGGAGGGGGAGGAGGGGGAGGAGGAGGAGGAGGAGGAGGAGGAGGAGGAGAAAGCAGACACCCGGCGCTATGACTCTCTCCCTCCGCGGCCCGAGTGGTCCCCGACCCCTTCCCCGGGGAGGATGCCTCGTCCCCCCTGCTCCGCTCCGCTTCTTTGTTACACGGCTCCCGGGCCCGAGCTCGGGCCCGGGAGCCCGAACTCGAACAAGGACAGGAACCGTATCCTCGGACCTCTGGGCCCCATCGGAGGCGCAGGGCCCCCCCCCCCTCCCCGGCGGGGCTCCTCCGAGGAGGCCCAGGGCAGGCAGCGCCGCAAGCGCGCCCGCAGGGCCTCGCCGAGGCTCTGCGGCGCTGCGGTGCCGCGTCCCTGCGAGGGGAGGGGGAGGGAGGGTGGAGGGAGGGGAGGGAGGAGGGAGGAGGGGGGGGAGGAGGAGGAGGAGGAGGAGGAGGAGGAGGAGGAGGAGAGGAGGAGGAGGAGGAGGAGGAGGAGGAGGAGGAGGAGGAGGAGGAGGAGGAGGAGGAGGAGGAGGGAGGAGGAGGAGGAGGAGGAGAATTGTTTTAGCAAGGGTGGCAACGAGGAAAGAAGTTAAAGGATCGCCCAAGGCTCTTTCTCGACTGTAACCCCAGGACGCTTAGGATGATCGCCACTCGCAAGAAGCTTCCAATTGTCCTGGATGCGACAGGTTGGGTGATCGCTGCAGTCCTTGGACAATCCTCGAATTTGTCCGTGGCTCGAGTAGCATCTACACTTGAAGCATGCCGTGAGCAGTACACTGTCACTGCATTCGAGCTGGATGCACTTGTGATTCAGAGCTCGGAAGGCGGAATCAGACAAGCCGTGCACTTCCGTACACACGCCAGGGGCAGTCTCCGTCGATTCTCCCCTCAATCTGTTGCAGCTCAACCACACGAAACGTCCACCCAATCTCTGCCACTCGGGGCCAGGAAGAGGAGACGGGACCGAGGGACCAGACTCGACACGAGGGGGTCGGATGAGCTCGAGCTGCGGCCAGAGTGGGAGAAGCGAGGACGCAATATCACAAACCTGTTTCGCAACTTGACTTGATCGCTGGAGCTCCGCTTCTTCGTTCTCAGTCCAAGACGGGTGCATTGCAGCTCCAGCCCGAGCGGTAGCGTCGGCCACCGAATTGCCCAGCCGACACACACTACCGCTCAGAAGCATCTAAGCTTTCCACGTGGGGGTCCAAATGGGCGTTAACCTTGACCACACCACGAGCCCATGTGCCCCCCCATCTACGAAACATAGCTGCATGCATGCACCTGGTCTAAAACAGCTAAGCTGCTGCTCCTGTGC